CTTCCTTGGTCGGAAAAACATGTTAGCAGATGGCTTTCTGTGAGTGCCATTCAGCTTAAGAGCAACAAAGGTGACTCTGGAGATAAAGGTGTTGAACATAGCCTACACTGTGTAGCCTGTTAAGAGGCTGAGCTCAAGCTTGTCTGCTTTATCCTTGGATCTTTCCAGACATGTTTGAAAGCTGAGATAAACAACATCACCAGACATATAATCATAGAATGTTTAAAAAAACTGACAAATGCCAAAAGGGCTAAAATTTATTTTATGGCATCTGGAATGTCAGCTTGAGTTATACAGTTTATTAGGATAAAATCCTGGTATAAATTTGGCTGTTGTATCAAATGGGAATTTTAATTTTGCCTGCATCGGTGTCAGTCCTGTGGAGAAGTGCTAAAATACGATTCATTAGAAAGTTTGCAGGAATGTGGCGGGACTCCCGCACAGTCTTCAGTGTCTTTACCCAATTACAGCCATCTTGAATCTTCACTAAAATAGAGAAAATTTTTCATGAAAGTGTTGGGCCAAGTATCTTTTTGAATTTTCCCAAAAAAAATGCCTTCTGGGAGAAATTGCTCTTCAATGCACTTCACAGTGAAGAGACATCTTTTCAAATATTTATTAGCATGTCTGCTTTTCCAGTGCATTTCCTCATACGTTAAAATGAAAGCTGTCTAGTCCAGCGGTCCATATGTGAAGTGTTTTATCAAATCATGCTAAGCAGTCAGTGTAGGCCTTTTGACAGCCAGTTTGTATGAGGCATTCATACAATCAAACATTTTAATTTCACTTTAAAAGGGCATGGATGTTACCAGAGCAGTGGCTTGCAAGTAGCCCTGAGTAAAGGGATGGGAGGCCACTGGAGAGTTTACTTTGGTTCAGTTCCACAGAGGCTCAGCTACAGTTTTAGAGTCGGTTTTCCAATTGCATGGCTCTCTCCAGCGGCACAGGCTGCCAAGTCACACACACAGTTGGTTTTCGTGTTCTTCCAGGGTTTGGAGCTATTCATTTCTCTCTAAAGCCCAGACACGGAGGTGGAGGCCTACGGGAAGAGTGAGAAGTGCTATTAATAATTCATTTGAAAAGGGTTTCTGTTTAGTTAAAGTATCAAGTAAGCAACCAAGATAGTATAGGATTAACTAACTGTAAAAAAAAAATCTTTTGAGTATTTTAGCAGAGAATTAGTATTATTTCTTTTCATGAGAGATGAAACTTCAAAGTTAGATGAAATTTTAGAGAACAAATAATCTGTATATTGCTTGACAAGAAATATCTTTATAAGTTTTTCAGTTACAGTTGACATTCAACATTATTTTATATTAGAGGCGCGACGAGGTGCCCTGCCTCCCGCTGTGTGAGGCGGTACCCTATGGGGGGAGGGGAAGAGGGGGGCCGGGATCCTAGCCTGACTCGCAGCGTCCCATGGCCCTCCTGCCTGTGTCTCTGTCTCTGCTCCTTCTGTCTGGTCATAACCCGTTAGGGAGTCCTGGCCTAATGTGCATATTGCCTGCCCCTCCTCTCTCTCTCTCTCTCTCTCTCTCTCTCTCTCTCTCTCTCTCTCTCTCTCTCTATATATATATATATATATATATATATATATATATATAGTTCTAATATCCACCTGGCATTATATATAGCTACTAGAGGCCCTGTGCACAAAATTCATGCATGAGTAGGGTCCCTGGGCTGATCGGGGCCTTCCAGCTGCCAGTCAGGGCTTCCCTTCATTCTGCCACGCCCCCTGTTGGTCAGTGCATGTCATAGTGAGCGATCAAACTCCTGGTCTCCTGATCGAACTCCCAAGGGTCTACTTTGCATATTAGCCTTTTAAATATATAGATTACAATATATTCTATATGTTGTACTTTATATCCCCGTGACTATTTTGTAACTACCAATTTGTACTTTTTTACCCAGCCACCTAGCCTGCCTCCCATCTTGAAACTTTGTTTGTTCTCTGTATCTGTGGGTTTATTTATGTTTTGATTATTTTGTTCTTTAGATTTCACATATAAGTGAAATCATATGGTATTTGACTTTCTCTGTATGACTTATTTCACTTAGCATAATACCCTCTAGATCCATTCATATTGTCCCAAATGGTAAGATTTCATTCTTTTTTTATGGCAGAGTAATAATCTATTATATATCTATACCACACCTTCTTTATGCACTTGTCTATTTATGGACACTTTGGTTGCTTCCATATCTTGGATGTTGTAAATAATGATACAGTGAACATAGGGATGCTTATATCTTTTTAAATTAGTGTTTTGGATTTCTTTGTGTGTACAGGGTGGGGCAAAAGTAGTTTTATAGTTGTATGGGAAATAATACAATAATTAACAAATAATAATATGAGGACAAACCCTATTTCACATAAAGCTGTGAACTATTTTTGTCCCACCCTGTGTACCCAGAAGTGGATTCTCTCTCATCACTGAGTTTCTGGCTTTCTCTCTCTTTCCCTTTCTCTCTGAAATAAATTAAAAAAAAAAAATAGTTCAATGTAGTACCATTTATTTATTTTTTCTCAGAAAAGATATCTTTCAAAAAAATTTTCAACCTTTATATGGTGAAATAAACTGGGGAAGTATTCTTTTTCAATGCTTTACTTGTATATAAGGACACTAGGTCTCCTAAACTCATTATTAGTACCATGATTTTAGAAAGAAAATAATATTTTAGTAAGAAATAAAGTAATTGCTGACTCAGAACTTATGATTTTGCTTTATATTCTCCTTCACAACAGGTGAGATGGTACACAGGATGTATAAGATTGACTCATTCGGCACTTCCAGCTGGGCTTTCTCTAAGAAAGTTGCTAGTTATTTACCCTGGGCCTCTCACTTCTGGTAGCCTTTATTATTATTTTTTTAAGTTTAAAAATAATAATAAAATAATTTTGAAAAACAAAGTTCTCTTTCATAAAACCATTGGGATGGAGGTATTTTTCATTCTTGTTTAAATGACTAAATATTTTACAAAGCTGTAATTGCAGTATAAACTTCTGTGCTTATTTAAAACTTGAAATTGTATCACGATTTTTTATGTTGTGAAGTTTTCAAAAGTTACTTTGAGTTTATTTTGATTGTTTAATGTTCTGTTGAAATGATGAACTATAATTTATCAGCCCCACATATTATTAAATCTTGAGGTTGATTTTGATTATTGGTTTATCTGGCAGTATAGCCAGGAACATCTTGCTGGTTCAACTTTATTCTTCTGTTGAAATTAAGATTAAAAAGTTAAATTATTTTTATAGTACTTGTTAACTTTTAAAATAAAGTATTTTTTATTTGGCTTTTAGAATTTGGGGACCATTGCTAAAGTTACTAAATGGAGAATTTAAAGTTATTTATAATAATAAAAGGATAACATGCTAATTAGACTGGATGTCTTCCAGACATCCTTCCTGATGAATGTGGGGCTGGGGGGAAGCCAGGAGCCAGGGGAGAAGCCAGCCGGGGTCCCAGGTTCCTGTGGGGGGGCCCAGGGGAAACCAGCCCGGGTTCTGGGTACCTGCTGGCAGCTGGAGGAGGGAAGCCGGTGCCAGCAGCCAGGGGAAGGCCTACTCTTGCATTTTTTGTGTATCGGGCCTCTAGTACGAAGCATAAAAATACTTCTAACTGAGCTTTCTAATTGAGGAATATCTTTCCAGGTTCTGGTTGGCAGTGGTAAGAATAGCTACTTGCAAGCAAAAACCTGTTGTTAGGTGCTTTATATGCTTTGTTTTCTATTGGCATTGCAGTATTAATTAAATTGGATAAAGTAACTATCAGAACCAGAATAGTATACTTGAGCCTAAATTAGTGCACTAAAAATAAATTTGGTTTCTTAGCCATAGGATTTGGTTTATTAAATTGTAGGCTAGGCAACAAGTTTTCAAACCACAGAGTACCATAGCTGCTTCTTCTTCTTTTTTTTTTTTTTCTAGTGTTAATGGAACAGTGTTATTCAGACTGATGGTTCCATTTGTAAACTGAATCATGCCTCGCTTGGCTTTTGAATGTCTGCTAATAAAATGCCTTAATTGTGGGTCATTGAAGCCAAACTAATTGCTTGTTAGGCATTTGGATTGCTTTTTTAATTTGCTGTATAATGCAGTTTCTACCAAAAGTACACAATATATCGTTATCTAAATAAAACTCACTAAAATCATCTCACATACAACAGAATGTTTGATGTTTTGTCCATAATCTTGCAAAAAAGAGAAAATTGAGTGGCATTACAGAGGTTTCTAATTTACAATACTCTTTTTTAAGTGCCTTTGTTTCCATTTTGGAAGTTATATATAAAATGACTGCTATGGTTTATGTCAGTGTGATAATTTTCTGTAAAAAAGATATCTTTGCTGTTTTCTTAATTCACAAAACAGCAATTAGAGGGGTAACCTCTACAATTTAGGGAACAATTGTTTATTAGTTGGTAAGATGTTTAGCACTAAAATACTGGTTTTCTCTCATTTTCTCTGGATTGACAGGCAGCTTTATAGAGGACTTTCTTTAGTTTCTCCTTATTAATTCCATTCATTTAACAGTTCATAAGTGCTAGGAACTGTTGTAGGTGTTGGGGTTACTCAAGGTTCTTTTTTCTTTTTTAAATATGATAAATATTTAGCCATAGAGAAAAATTGTTGAAATGAATCTTACAAGCTTTTTTTTTTCTTTAAAAATTTTTTTTTAATTGATTTTTTACAGAGAGGAAGGGAGAGAGATAGAAACATCAGTGAGAGAGAAACATCGATCAGCTGCCTCCTGCACACCCCCTACTGGGGATGTGCCCGCAACCAAGGTACATGCCCTTGACTGGAATCGAACCCAGGATCCTTCATTCTGCAGGCCAATGCTCTATCCACTGAACCAAACCGGTTTTGGCCTAAGAGCTTTTAAAATTATTTAAAACAGAGTAATTTGTTTAAGAAATTTCTAAAATATTTAATAGATGCCTGTGTTTGTTTGTTTTTTAAAATATAAATTAGTTCATTATCTTTCTTTTTGTAGGTTATTTCTTATGAGAGTCATGGATATTCCCTATCTAAACTTGGAAGGACCAGACTGTAAGTGAAATTTTATTTTCTTACGCATCTGCACATTTAAGTATGTGGTCTGGAAGGAATAACAGGAAAAGTATGTTTGAAGAAAGAGCTTTATTCACTTAAAGATAGGCAGAGATTTTTGTGGTTGATATGAATAGTATGCTTAAGTTAATGGTACCCTTGAGCCTAGATTAACTCATCTTTTTACTTGAATTTTCAAGTTTATGCGTATTGAATTAAAAATACATAATTTTGTTTCACTCAGAACTCTAAATTTATAATTTCTTATAATGCATAGTAGATTTTAATCTTAAAATCAGTTATATCAGTACCAAGTAAGTTCTCTATTTTCTAATTATTGGAGTACAGTATATTTAAGTTTAGTAGGTGATTTTGTTGTTATTGAAAACCTTGAAAAGCTAATATATTTGGGAGGTGGTTGCTTCTTCTTCTGATTAATCTGTACTTTATCTACATTGCCCCATTTTTCTTTTCCAAGCCTTTGGATGTTGGTCTTAATATATACTATAGGATCTAGGAATGGGCAAACTATACTTGATGATAATCATTGCAATGATACTGATTTGAGGACATACTGTTGCACTCCATATTAGTTTTACATTGTAATCTGTCATTCTCATAAATGTTCTGCAAGTGAATATCGTCATTCCCAATTTAGAACCATGATTTGTTAGAGTGGTTAGTTCCCTTGCTTGGAGTTGCACAGTTACACAATTAGCCCATTTAATTTGAACAGTGTGGTGTGTGTTTTAGCTAATAAACATGGGGACAACTAGATTAAAAGTAGAAAGTTAAAATGTTTAGTGAAAGTTCTCAAACTGAGCAGCTGTTTTTTTTCTTTCTTTCTTCTTTAAATAATTTTCACGGGAACTTTATGAGCAAAGATGTTTCTGCATAGAATTTTTATTATTATGTGTTCTATAAAATATCAAGCCTGATGTCTAGGTTAAGATGGCAGAGTACTGCCATTCCTAAGAATGCTTTTAGGAGTTGTCTGGTAATCAGGAGGCATTCATAATAATTCCCCAAGTTACTGTGGACTTAGAGAACCCTTGGAGTATAGCTCACTTTCCAGCTTTCAACCTTTTATCAAAAATTTGTCTTGTAGTACAACCTAAACGTGATCATGTTCTCCATGTGACATTCCCCAAAGAATGGAAAACCAGTGACCTTTACCAGCTTTTTAGTGCCTTTGGTAAGTAACTCAAAGTATATATGTCCTTTTAACACTTTGCTCTTCTTTTGGTCAAGGCGATCAGAGGTATTCAGGTGCATAAAAGAATATTAATATGTAAGGCTTTAATCTGACTTAAGGAATTTTTGGGAGTTTGACATACTGCTATCTTTGTGCTAATATGATCCGAGGAACTTTTTTTTTTAAGTCCAGATTTATTTTTTAATCCTCACCTGAAGACATGTATAATTGATTTTAGAGAGAGAAGAAAAGGAGAGGGAGAAAGATAGACACATCAGTGTGAGAGCAAAACATTGATTTGTGAAACATCAATTGGTTGCCTTCTTTAGGCACTACGAGGATTGAACTGGCAACCTGGGTATGTTCCCCCACCTGTAATTGAACCTTTGACCTTTCAGTGTACAGCAACATGCTTCGTTTACTTGCATGGTAGGTGATGGTGCTCCAATTTAACTGAGCTACACCGGCCAGGGCGATCTGAGGAACTTTTAATAGCACCCCACAATAGAGATATATTATTAATTCATGAAAAGCAAGATATGATTACTATAACTTCCCTTCCTGCTGACCATGGAAAATAAATCCAGGCTCATGATATATCACTTTTAAGATTAAGGGCAGCCAATCACTCACTGTTTGACATCGAACATTCCAAGCAGATGAACACAGATGTTTGAGAGGACCAAGATATGTGATATGTGTCAAGTAGGGCAGCTTTTCTTTTTCCTTTTTATCAAGTCAGGGGATTAGGTTAATTTGAACAGTCTTCTGATTAGGGTTTATAAAGACCTTTCTGATTATAAGTCTTTAGCAATGCCTTCACCCATCTTTTTTTTTTTTTTTTTTTTTTTTTTTTTTTTTTTTTAATAAATTAAGTATGTAGGCTATTTTCTTTGGATATTCTTGAATAAAGTGAAAGCAGCAAAAACCTAAATGTCCAATAATAACATTTAGTAAATGTTTATCTATTTCAATAGACTAGTATGTAGCCATTTAAAAATATTTGAAAAGCCCATTTAAAAATATTTGAAAAGCCCATTGGCATGGCTCAGTGGTTGAGCATAGACCTATGAACTAGGAAGTCAGGGTTCAATTCCAGGTGAGGGCACATCCCCTGATTATGGACTTGATTCCCCGTGTGGGGCATGCAGGAGGCAGCCCATCAATGATTTTTCTCATCATTGATGTTTCTCTTCTTTCCTCTCCTCTCTGAAATTAATGAAAATATATTAAAAAAACAAAAAACAAAAAATATTTTAAGTTTATTAAAAGATGATAAAGTAATTATATATTTTAGCATTTAGAATAAAAAGCAGATACAAAGTAGGATTCCTGTGTAACTAAAATTATTATTTTTTACAAACTTGCATAGAAACCGTATTGAAAAGAAACATCATACTAGCATCACTGAATGTTTTAGATTTAATTTTTTTCTTTATGCTTTCTGTATCTTCTAAAGTATATATTAGTTGTTTTTTTAAAATATATTTTATTGATTTTTTACAGAGAGGAAGAAAGAGGGATAGAGAGTTAGAAACATCGATGACAGAGAATTATCGATCAGCTGCCTCTTGCACACCCCCTACTGGGGATGTGCCCGCAACCAAGGCACATGCCCTTGACCATAATCGAACCCGGGACCTTTCAGTCTGCAGGCTGACGCTCTATCCACTGAGCCAAACCGGTTTTGGCTATATTAGTTTTTTAAGTAAAACCTTTACACACTTAAATTTTAGAAAAGTAATTGAAAGCAGGCATATTTTCGGAAAGTTATCCTAATCTTTGCAGATAATCTTCATGTCTTCTAAAATTCTAATTCTGCTTTTAAACTTAAACACAGGTATAGAAATGCAGTAAATTTCACAGCTCATTTCTTTTGAAAGCTTTTGATGTTGTTTCTCATCTTTTATTGTTATGCTCTTATCCCCATATGGTCAAACTTTAATTGGCTAAATTAAGTAGAAAGCTCTGAGTAAATTAAAAAATTTTTTTAATTAAAGAAAATTACTTTGTGATATTGGACAAGTAACCCTTCTGTATTTTTGTTTACTCATTGGAACTGATGATGATGGTAATGATGATGATGATAAAATAATAATAATGTCACCCATTTCTTAGACATGTCATGAAGATTAAATGAGCTAATCCATGGAAGGCATTTACAATAGTATGTGGCATATAGTAACTACTTAATAAATGTTAGCTATTATTATTTATGACAAAGACAGCATACTGGATAGAGAGGCAACAAAATAATAGTAAGTGACTTTTTAATTAAGTCATTATGGCACCTCATTGTGCAGCAGGAAGTGGGAGTTTTATCCTTTGATAGTAAAATATTGATAAACTAATTTCCTAGCCTTCGAAAATTTAATTGGAATTAAAATAGTTTTTCATTGCTAAATTTCAGTGTGTTTACCTTTTTTTGTTATTGTTGTTAATCCTTACCCAAGGATATTTTTTCGTTGATTTTTAGAGAGAGTGGGAGGGGAAGAGACAGAGAGAGAAACATAAATGATTGCCTCTAGCACACATCTCAACCAGGCCCGAGGATTGAGCCTGCAACCCAGGTTTGTGCCTGGGGATCATGCACTTGTCTGGAATCAAGGCCGAGAACTTTCAGTCTGACTGAGCCAAACTGGCTAGGGCTGTTTACCCTTTTCTTTCTTTCTTTTTTTTTTTTTTTTTTTTTTTTTTTTTTTTTTTTATAATTTCAGTTTAATGTATTTTTTTTAAAAAGAGTTGTAGCAAAATAATTAGATCTCTGACTTTCTCTTTAGTTTTCTGCATCTTTCTAATCCATTCCTTTTTCCTTCTCAGTGCTCTCCTATATCCCATTCTGTTTACCCTTAACCATTTTTGAGGATTAGTCTCTGTGTGAAAATAATTTTGTTTTATTATACTGTTTTCTACCCCTCTCTGTTTTTTTCCCCTCTGTTAGACTGTCCTGGTTTCCTCTCTCTGACACCTTTTCTTTTCCCTTCATTCTGTTACCTGTTTTCTTTACTTGGCTTGAGATCAAATTGACTTTTTCTTATTTTCTGCTACATTGATTCCCAGTGGTAATTTTCTAAGTTTATGTCTTTGAAAAGAAATTGTTGTGTTTTTTTTTAACTTATCTGGCCTCTGAATTTTGTTAGTGATCTTGATAGGAACAAAGTTTCCAGTTCTGGCAGGACACAAATCATGAAGGATATTTCTTTTGTTTATTAAAACAAAATTTTAAAGCTCCTTTTTTTTTTCTTCTTGGAAGTTTTAACTGAAGTAACTGCTGTAGTAGATTTATGATTACCTTTTAATAGTGATGAGATTTTGATTATATTTTAAACCACCTCATATTTCTCTAAATTAACACATATACTGAAATATAACAGAGATATAAATGAAATCTGATAGCTATCTAAATGTTCAAATGTTCACTTTATGTTTAATACAATATTACAGGGAACATTCAAGTATCATGGATTGATGACACGTCAGCATTTGTTTCTCTCAGTCAGCCTGAGCAAGTACAAATTGGTAAGTGTTTTGGACATTGTTTTGTTTATTAAAGTGGAAGCTTGCCCCCCACATCCCTAGGGGGTTCATTCAGCTAATTCACAAGCATTGTAGCTTGGTATGTTTTGAGATTTTTCTATAAAATAAAGAAAATAATTAGTGAGTCATGTTTACAAAAGAAAGACAAATTTATTGATTCATTACACATATTGCATAATATTTTTTTTTTCCTAAACTGAATTGCAGATTTACTTGTAGGTTAGAAGTAGCAAATTGAGAGGAATGGGAAACACCAAAAAATGATATCTATATTTACCCTTTGATCTCTACTTTCCCCATTATTTAATTTTTTGTGATCTATTTATTCCATTACTTGTATAAAATACTGTTTTAGAAGTAAATAAACTGAAAGCTATGTTGTTTGCTTAAAATTTTTTTTCTTTTATTGATTTTTTTTTTTAAGAGAGAGAGAGAGAAGGGAGAGGGGAGATGGAAAGAAACATCTTTCCTGCATGCCCTCTATTGGGGATCAAGACAGCAACTGGGGATTCAAACCTGCAGCCTCCTGGTACATAGGTTGACACTCAACCACTGAGCCACACTTTTTATAATAGGGTTATAAAAAGATTGAGTATCATGCCGAGACCGGTTTGGCTCAATGGATAGAGCGTCAACCTGGGGACTGAAGGGTCCCGGGTTCGATTCCGGTGAAGGGCATGTACATTGGTTGCGGGCACATCCCCGGTAGGGGGTGTGCAGGAGGCAGCTGATCGATGATTCTCTCTAATTGATGTTTCTAACTCTCTATCCCTCTCTCTTCCTCTCTGTAAAAAATCAATACAAATATTATATTTAAAAAAAAAAGTTATTTAAAAAAAATTGAGTATCACATCTCTAGTTGAACCCTAAGTAATTTTGATATTAACCATCACAAAACATTTCATTTTCTTAGGATGAAAAGTTATTGAATAAAATATTGAAAAAAATATGTAGTGTTAAGCTACTTATTCAAATAGATTTAAAGTATCATGGTGCTTAATAATGTAAAAGGTATGAAAATTTTAAGTGATATATCTAATTAATTTTTTCTTATTCTTTAACAAAAGTGTCACTAAAACTAACAATTTTGATAATATAACTATAAGAGTAATTATATATGAAAACGTCTACAAACATACAGACCAGACGACTGGACACTTAGCATATTATTCCTTTTTTATATAAGATCTGCTTGGCCTCTCTTGCTTTGTACAGAAAAAATGAGTGTGTATAAATGCATTGACATCTGTAAAACACTAATTAGTAGCATTTACTTGAAAATACAAGCATAATTTTTGTTTATGTGTACGGGGTGTCAAAGCTTCTTTTAATCTTCCTGTTGTACCATATTTGATGTTCAGTATTGATTTCTCCCTTACTTATTATTTGAAAGAGTCTTCAAACAGTAGCTTTTAAACTCGGTATTTTAGTCAATGACTTCAGAATCAGGTAGCCATAGAAGCACTCCATTTGATTGTTTGCCTTTGTTTGTTGTTTCCCTGATGGTAATATTGAGTCCACCTTATTCACCATTGAATCCTTCTCTAGGGTCTGGCACACACTGTGGCATGAATAAATAAATGTGTGTTTGAATGGGTAATGTGGGGAATAGGCCAAGAAGACATTGTGACATTTTTACCCTTTTCCTCAGCGATTAAGGAGTAGAGATGCCTATTGTCTTTTTTCCACTGTTGTGCAATTTCCCACTGCGGTCTCTCTTCTTACACAAGAGGCAGCTCTTAACATAAATACCTGGCCATTTGCACATGCTGTGCCTGTGACTATAGTCACAAAGCATTGGCAGAAGCAATCTTTTACTCAACGATCACCTAGGTCCCTTTAGAGCCAGGCTGTGTCCTCTTTCCCCCCTCATCTCAGCTTCAATGTCCACTTCTCCGGATGTTTCTCTGGCTCCATTTGAAGGGGAATGTAACTTGTTTTCTGTGCTAGCCTGGCATCCTTCATTGACGCACCTTGGTTTTCTTCCCTGATAGACTAGAAACTCTTTTACTGCAGGGACCATATTTCTTGTTCACCATCATGTTTTCAGTGCTTAGGATAGTATTGTGTGACATTAGTTAGTGTATGTTAAATATTTATGTATCTTAATAAATGATATTCAAGGTATTATGACTTAAAATGCATTCGTGCATGTGACGGATATATCTACTGTCTCTGGTCTTTAGCTACGATTTCTAAAATTATGCATGTTTCATTGAAAGACAATTTAAAATATGTTCTTTATGGTAATAATTTTTATGTGCTACAAACCCTATTAATATAATCTTAAATTACTTATTCATTTTTGCAGAAATGGAGGACCTGTTAGATCAGTATTGTAACATAGGAAAAATCATTAAATGCCTATTTATATAGCAAGCAGCTCATAATGGCTTCTTTGGCCCAGTTACAAGTTTTTTGTTGTTGTTGTTAATCCTCACTTGAGGATATTTTTCAGATTGCTTTCAAGTGGAAGGGAAGTGCAGAGGGAGGGAGGGAGGGAAGAAAGGAGGGAGGGATGGAGGAAGAAACTTCTATGTGAGAGAGACACATCAATTGGTTGCCTCCTGCACATGCCCTGACTGGGGGAGGCCTGCCTGCAACCAAGGTACATGCCCTTGACTGGAATTGAACCGCAACATTTCAGTCTGTGGACCAACGCTTTAACCACTGAGCAAATAGGCTAGGGCAGGTTTTATTTATTTTTAAATCTCTAGAAGGTTGGTCTTTGCATTTGCTCTAGTCCATAGCCTTTGCTAAGAGATTGGGGCCAAATTAAATTTATCTGGGAACCTGCCATATCTATAAATGCTGCACAAAATAATAAATGGGTCTTTGGTTTTCAAGAATTGGTGACAGTGCACTTTAGTTCCTAATTTATTTGTAGTTCATAAAAATTATCCCTTGACAAACAAAATTGTAAAAAAAAAAAAAAAAAAAAAAAGGAAAAGAAAGAAATCCTACTTGATGAATTAATCTTTTGATAAACATTTAAATATTGTTTACATAAATGATAATGAAATGAGTCAAGGTGGGGAGATGAACAAACACAGGGATGAACGGATGAATACAGATGACATGTTTTTTTGTGTTCAGAGGAATGAGAGATGACCGAGCTAAAATTCATCAATTGTTAATTGTCTCACCCAGTAGACTTGGCTTCTCAATGTGGGGACTGTTTATATCTATTATTTTACTTCCTTGGTGTTTGGGACATACCGGGCATTAGTTGGGAATGACATTGAGGAGAGGCCTTTGTTTGGCCCTTGAAGGAGGTCTGATTCTGGGTTTGCAGAGAAGAGGATCATGCCAGAGGTTGGAATGAAAGTGGATGTTTACTACAGTGTTTGTCAGACTGTGGTTCACACTCTCTCAGTGGGTTGTGAAATCGTTTTAGTGAGAGTGATCAGCGTTTTTATAAAAGGAAGACATTAGAAAAGTTCAGTGTACATCTTAAATAATAAAGGTAGGTTTGCTTTTTTTAAATGTAACTTTTGTTCAGGTACACATCTGTACATGTATGGGTATAGGGTTGTAAGAAAAATGTATCGAAGGTCATGGCCAAAAAAGTTTGAAATCAGATGGTTTAGGAGACTATTCCATGAGTGCAGAACACTGTGGCTGGGGAGGAAGCAAAGGGAACCCTGACAAAGGTCTTGATCCTCAGGTGCATTTTGGGGCTGGGGATTTGTGCGGACAGCATCTGGGAGAATTGCTTGTTCCTTTATCCTTACATCTCTGTGGGCCAGGAGTCTCGTCTTGTTTCTCACCAAGAAAGGAAGGTTGTGGTTATAGTGTATGACTCTACTCTCTATCCCCCTTGCTTTGTCTTCCTCATGGAAGGACAAATGGCATATCCGATGAGTGAAATCAGAAAAAGGCTGGCTTCAGGGGCCTTTGAGTGGGGTTACTGCATTGAAGAAGGCAGACCTGCAAATCAGCTGCTGGGGTCTGTTCTGGCAGCAGAGATTTGGAAGTAGTTCAGACTCTCCTTGCAGCTATCATATTTCTTCATTGATGGGGCCTCCTGGTCTGGATTTATTTAGAAGGTGGCGGCAGCTATAGTATAAAGTACCACTTAGACCTCAGGCCCTACATCCATCTCAACACACTGTACTAAGGAGTCCTGTACTTTGAGGGAACAGAAAGGTGATGCTAAGTCATGTACTTTGGGGGAATAGAAAGGTGATGCTAAGTCATCATTAGCTCTTCTACTTCAATTTGTTCTTCAATTTGTTCAGACCTGTGAGTCGATGGTGCTCCCTAACTGCTAACTAGTATTAGTGGGAGATAGGGAAGGGGACAGATTCCGAGGGCCTTGACAGTGATTGTCACCTCCATTAAATTTTGACTTTGTGTGTGAATAGCAGAGAGCCTATATGCACACCCCTTCAGGTATGGGTGTTACTCTTAAATTACATGTTAAGAAATTTCTTTCATAAAGTATGATGGGCTCTACAGTATGAGAGAGCTGAGAGGCTGGGTGTGGCTGCAGTGATTGCAAAAGTGGAATGACGACCAGTAGTGACCTATAGTTAAAAAAAAATTTTATTCTACGATTCGTCTGTGAAGGTGTTTACTTACTGCCAACAGTGTTCAGAATCTTTGGAAGCTAATTTTCTAGTTTGCCACCCTTCTGGATTACTAAACTGTTTAAGTGCTTTTTAATGCCAGATATGACTTTCTATGTCTCAATTCCATTTCACCAACCAGAAGATGGTGCTGTTGTGTTGGAACTAATTTACCTTTTCCTCTTCAAGTAAAATTTGTCAACTGAATGCTTATTCATACTAAATCATGTGGACACATTTAACATGTGTTGTTTATAGTATACCCTTCATGCAGAATTGGATCAGATGGGCAACATGAAACATTTTTAGGGTCAAACTTACAAAGTGAGGGGCTAGAGAAACTAGGCACAGGGGCTTTGATTAGCTGTTTGCTCAGGGCCATCTTTGCACGCAGGGTAAAGTGACAGTCTT